ACAGCAAATAAAACTGTTTCCAAGACCCCACTGTGACATGAGCTTCCAGTCCAAGGTATTTCAGATTTGGTATTACATGTTTACCCTTTTTTTTTTGTTGATGAATAGCACAAGCTTGGTGTGCTGCGATGAAGGCTGAAACATTAAAGTATTCTTACATCTGTTCATGTGACGATTGCAGCCGTGGCTGCAGGTAACAGCAAACACAGTGTGTGTTGTCAACAGGTAGGACAAGTCAACGGGAGGATTTAGGATAATTCACTCTTAATTATTATTATCAAATGAGACACAGCAGCGTCTCTTAGAGAATGTGTTCGGTCACAGCTCTCCTGATCTCTCTAATTCCATTATAGCCCTGCAAATGTGAAGTTTGGCGTCGCACAGAGACTCTTTTAAAAGCTGCTTTCTGTTTCCATTTCTCTGAGGACAAGACAAGATTTGATTACTCCTTTGACCAAAGGGATGCCAATGCTTCTCAGCTGTCACGTTTTAATTTCTACTTCAATACTCCCTTTCAGTCCATGACAGGCCTTCTGTTTCACACAACCTCAGGTCTCGCTGCCTTTTTTTTAAATGAGAGAACCTGTTGTATGTATTTGTAACACATACTTGGTACTGGCAAAGCAAATTAAGGCTTCTGCACTGCCAAAGAAGTTTTTATATTTCCTGATATGAGGGTAGAATTCAGATAATCTGATACAGGAAATTCGGACCTGTGGTCTGAATGACCTTCAACAGTTTTAAGTCGAGTGTGGAATTGCAGCCTCCGTCTGTCGGAGGCATTCTTCACTGACACAAGACTACGCTTCAGTTGTCAAAAGTGGAATGCAAAAACAGGATCGGTGGCTTCTTTCTTCCTCCCGCCATCCAGCGAGTAAACAGGTAGCAGGCCAGTAAACACAAAAAGCATGTAAGACACTCACATTGTGTTGCTTTGTGTACGAACAGATGATTGAAGAGCTACAAAGCGTGTTGTAGCTTTCCATGCATGTATTAGTGTATTTGAAAAACTCCTTGTTTAGACGGAAGCTCTGAAGGCAAAAGGTGCTGACATGTTGTTCTGAGAAGTCGACTAACAACAGAGAAACAAAAAGGTTTCGGTGATGACGCCGGTCTGCTCGTCTTCACAGCAGAGAGGCCCCTGAATGTTTGAGTGTGTAGGTGCTTGTGGTGGTGGTGCAGAGACATTCCTGCGTTGATGAATCAGTCGTCATTTCTGTGGAGGTCGGTGGTGGAGTTTATGGTTTAAGTTCAAATCTGAGGTTTGAATTAAGGTTGCGATGGGCTCCAAAGTGTTTCGCATGTTATACAGATTATGTAGCTTTAATAAATGATCATTTGAAAGGTGCCGTAAGTGGAGAAAAAACCATCACAACCTCTGCACTGCATGTAATTTTGTGCACCATTGTGTGGACGTGTTTTTGTAGAAAGGCCGGATGGTGGAAAAAATACCTCCAACATGTTTGTCTTAAAAAAGAAATAACACTGGATGGGGAGGGGAGAGAAATGATGAAATGTTAGCAACTGGCAGTGCTGAACATGGAGTTACTAGCTTTTTAGAACCATATTCCAACATGCTGCGCTGTGCTGTGGATCTCTCAGAGCTGCATTTGAACTCGGTCGCATGTAGGTCAGACGTTTATATAACATGAAGATAATAATGTTTACTGTGTTTTTGAGTTTGAATCTGTTACCTGATGGTGACAGCAGGCTTACATTTACAGAAGTTACTCAGAAATACAGAATGAAGGAAGGAAAAGGAACGACATTGTGCTATTTTTGTGGATTTTAAATGCAGGTTTGTTGCAGTTCCTGCATTCGATGGGAATAAACGAGAGAGCCAAGATTTCACCTCAGCACACGACTCAGATCATGCACTTGACTTCAGCATTCATGCCGCACTTCAAAGCCTGAACAAAGTTAGTTAATGTGCAACTTTAGACAAACACTTTGAGCACACACGAGGACCCGAGTCAAACTTTGAGGTTAGAGTAGAGGGGAAACAAAGCTGGAGCAGTGTGCTATCAACATGCATTCTTCTGTAATGTTGTCCTAATGCACTGAGGCCGGCTCATGTTGTTGGTCTTTTTGTCAAGGTTGCACATAAATAGAGGATTGCATTGAATAGACAAATAAACAAATGATTGTCTAATCGCTGATAAATCTGTGTTTTGTTAGTGCTAATCCTTCAGTGATTGTTAGGTAAACTTTAATAAGGCTTTAATACATTTAGAGAATTATTAACTTTTTGTAGCAGTGAATGAAGTTAGTGAAGCGTTCTAAGAAATTTCCACGTCTCCCTTTTTTTCAGAAGCAGAATAAACACGTTATTTCATAGCAGTCGCTGAAACAGTTTGAGGTACTGATGTACTCGCATTAATGCAAAAAAGGAAAAATCTTAATGAAAACGGGGCTCACAGCACTGAGCCTAATCCGGCTGCTTCTCACGGACAGCAGCAGGGCCTCTTTCTTTCTGGCTGGGTGGCTTCGCTCATGTTTTGAACACATGTGACCCAGTGTGGGAAGTGGGACAGACACACAAGTGTTGGGGCTCGTCTTGTTGTGTTCAGCATGTTGTTCAAATGGAGCGCAGACACAATCCTGACACAAACTGCTAATGCTGGACTGTTGTAGGGGAAGCTGAGTTTAGCCCCACATCCTGCACAATCTGTTTTTTTGGTTTGTTTGTTTGTTTTTATCTTTCACACTGAACACAACCACTTTTATTACAGAATGTGGAAATATGAATACATATGTCCTAGAAAGTGACACCTGATAGAGATCAGTGGTTCTCAAACTGGGGGTCAGGACCCCAATGAGGGTCCCAAGATAATTTCAGGGGGTCACCAGATCATTGTAGAACAAAATAACATAAATAAAATAAAGCCATCATTTATAAAAATAAATTAGTATTAGGGCTGTCAAAATTAAAAGTGTATACTTCTTCCTACTCCTTTTTTGAACTTGTTAATATTATGAGTTGATTAAGCAATATTATTATTCTTTTTTTGCTCTTTTTAAAATTATTTAATTTTTTTTTTTGTATTTTTTTTCCCTCTTGTTTGTTTAAAAAAAAAAATTCAATTCATTCAAAAGAAAATTCATATGTTAATTTGAAGATATTAATCTGTGGAATTAACACATTCATTTTTAACGCATTGATGCACAAACAACACAGTTATTACTCGTTGTATATTAAGAATTCAAACTGGGGCATCACGAACACAAACTTATGTTATCTTGGGGGTCGTGGGGCAAAAAGTTTGAGAACCGCTGATACAGATTTTGATTATTTCACCTTGAATACCAGTTGGCGGCATATAGATAGAAGAGATCAACATTTTAATGTGAGTTTTCAAAGCAGCATGAAGAAGCTGCTGCAACATAACATGACATCAGATCATCAAAACTACAACAGAGTTTGATATGAAGGCAGCACCCCGACCAACGAGATGTTGATTCAACTTGAGGACACTTCTGGAGGCTACACTGCAATGCTGAGGACTTGAACTACCTTATACATTTTTTTCTACATTGTCACCTATTGTTAGTTTTTGTTTATTTGTCTGATCGGGATCGTTAAACGGTGTTATGTCAGTGCTGAGTCTAGCCGGGCCTCCTCGCTCCTTTAACCAAACTAAATGACCCAGTGAGGCGTTGATGAGGGCGGCTCTGAGGTGACCGGAGAAACAGGTCCGACTGGCCTGCCAGCACTGAAGCAGGGAGGCTCCTGTCACCGTTCTAGCACAGGCGGCGCCTCTGTTCAGTGACGACAAGAAAAGCTGACCAACGAGTGCCTTTTACATTAGTCACTAAAGGACATGGGGGATGACAGGCTGTACACTTAAGACTCCAGCAGAAATTCAGTTCTACATTTGTCGAATAAGCTGTAACCTACAAAACCTTAACCCTCAAAGTTCCTTGTCATGTTTTTTAGAAGGACCTGCCAGTTCCTCCTGTTTAATTGGCATCCAAAGAACATTTTTCCTCTTACTGATGCTTACGATGTTATTTAGCATAAATTGTTTGTGGTCGCGGTTATTACAGAAAACCAGTTTGTAGTTCCACTGATTGTTTTGTTTTGGTACTACGTTTCATGAGTGTGTCACCAGCTGGGTTACAACTCCGTCTGTTGTCAAGGCACAAGGGTGTGTATGCTGAACACACACACACACACACATGTAGTGTCATACTGAGATACCAGCAACGTATGTGATGCAGAGCAATGAGTAACCTGCCTGTGCAGAGAGTCACAGTGAACTTTATAAACCCTTTGACACATTTCAACAGCTTCTGCATTTGTTTGATTTAATATTTCACCTGTTTCAGCTGCCACACAGTGAAACAGTAACTATAGGTTCTGCAGAGTTTCTCTGTTGTTCTGCATCCACAGTGCACCAGGTCCATCCACGCGTGCATACCTCAGTGTGCTGAGATAAACTGTCAAACCAGTTTCCTAACATTCCACCTTCATGCCGCAAAAATCACGTTTCCAAGGAACCCTCTGCAACCTGTTGCCCTCTGACGGCGTAATTAAGCCGAGGGCTGTCATAGCTACTGAAACCTGTTCTCGTGAGTCGTGCGATTCTTGTGTTTGTCTCTCAGAAGTGCATTTCCGTCCGTCTCCTGTTGTTTCTCTCCCGTGCAGCACTCGACCCTGAAAGGTCAGAGTTAGGGCAGACTTTGCATTCATAAATTTGGGAGAATTCACAGAACTGTTCATTGACTCTGCCACTGACCTGCCACAGGTGCAGACTAATGCCGTATAACAACCTGTAATAATATCTAAATATTTCAGAATAGGTCGTGGTCACAGTAGCACATGAGACTAGCAGGTCTGACTTGATGTCAATCAACAGACGCTAATGAAGGCTCAGATTTAGTTGCCTTCAATTGTGGTTTATTATGAAGTGTGAGAGAATTACAGGAAGGCGTTGTTGTCTGCAGCATCAGAGGTCCAGTGAGAATCGGAGCTCTACAAATAGCTTTTGTTATACGAGGCGTTTGAGATCGTCTCAAATGTTCCATCATGCATCATTGTTCCACACTCTGCTGAGTGTCACACACTCCTGCTTCCTTTGAACTGGAGCCTCGTGTCTTGTTCTGATCTGCAGAGCGGCGCAGTCGTGGTCCGGGAGAAGGCTGAAGTGGAGGCAGCCAAGGGCGCAGCGGAGGGCCAAGCTGGACGGCTGACTCAAGAAGCCGAGCGTCTGCGCAGGAGGGCGCAGGAGCTGGAAAATGAAGTGGCCAAACTCAACCGAATCATCGATGAGGCCAAGCTGCAGGAGAGCAGGCTTGGGGATAGAGCTGGCCGACTGGAGGTGAGGAGCCGAGATGCATAAAGAGGGAGTTAGTCACAGACTGATGCTTATTACTCTATATTAAAGTGTTATGTGTCCAAATGTCCACTTTACAGAGAGAGAAAAAGCAACTGGAAGAGTCGTTGGCTGAAATAAAGGAGCAAGAAGAGGAGATGTCACGTGCCAACCGAGCGTTGACCATCCGGCTGGAGGACGTGCAGGTGAGATTAGCAGCACCGCTCTACGCCGCATGTAGAGAAACGACCACGCGGCCCGACACCTTTAACTCTGTCTGCTTTTACAGAGGAACTTGACCAAACTGAGCATTGAACACAAGGAGCTGGAGGAAAGGTTACAGGAGGAGAAGACCCAGAAGGAGCAGTTCAAGAACATGAAGAATGACATAGAGGATGAGAGGAGGCTGCTGGACCGTACAGTGGAGAAACTTCAGAGGGAGGCGAGTGTACTTGAACGCATCAACATCCATTCCAGTAATAAGCACATTAATAGAGCTTATCTCACATGGCTGTCTTCAAGTTTGGGTCCGTTTCCAAGTTGGCAAAGTGCATTCAATCGTTAATCATACATCTGTGGCCAAACATCTTCTTTGTTAAGCAAAGAGTTGTAGTTCTTGAATATGAAACTCTCCAATAAAACCGAGTGTTTGACCAATTGAGGTGCTTCAGATGAAAATTTGGTTACAGAACAGAAAGCATTTTTCAGCTTCATCTCTAAAACTGAACAACTCAGAAAGCTAGACTGAAGAACCTCCATCAAATAATGAAAGGAAGATTTCAGATTAAAATATGTACTTTAAACGGATTTAAAAGTTGATGCAGCATTTAGATTTGATAAAATACTATCAAACCAAACCTGTTTCTGAGCCACATTGTTATCATATCATTCTTTTGCTTCGTCTTTCTGTCTCACCGGACCTGCAGATGAATGATATTGTGGAGGCGTCGCAGTCGTCTACTCTGGAGCTGCAAGAGCAGATCGACATTTACAAGGAGAAGAACCGTCGAGAGCTGACGGAGCTGCAGAAGCTTCTGAAGGAGCGAGGGCAGGAGCTGGAGAAGTACCTGCTGACGACCAAAACCCTGCAAGAAGAGGTAACGTGAACTGTGGCAGCGTCATCTAATGGGTGTTCAGAGAAGCGACTTGGACGCTGACACAGCTTTCAGGCAGAGAGTGGTCAGATGGAGGCCATCATTAGTCAGGCCAACTGAGCCCTCCCATGCAGAACAGCAGACGATGAGCCATTGTTCTGACTCGACCAGTTTGAACCCCTCCACCAACATCTTTCTCTCCCTTTGGAGAGCGATGTCATCGCTTTGGTATTTCTGCTCCCTGCTGCCCTTTCAAACCCGTAGCAGAGTATTAAAGTGAAGGAATTTAGCCGAGTCAAGTCAGAGAAAACCTCTGCTCTTTATTCAAATGAATGTTTCTGCTCAGTGTTTGGATTAAAAGAGAAATGTGGTGCTTTCCATTGTAACCCCCCTTGATGCATTAATAGTAAAACTTGATGTGTGACCCCTCTGCATAGCTCTCAGTCGAGCAGTTTGTCCTTGTCAGCACTTTGGAATGTGGAGAATGTTTTTGTTGAAAGCAGGAATAGATGAACGTGAATAATTCATGTTAGAATGACGGCGACTCGTGTTGTTTTATATCAAACATTTATTTAAGGAGGTGGAGTTGTTGACATTGTCTTTATGGTGACCACACAGAAACGCTTTTGCAGCCAAGTGTAAGCAAAAAAAAGACAATGTAAGATATAATGTTGTATAGAAACAGAGCAGAGCATCAAGGGAGTAATGCAGGCAACGGTACATAAAACATCTCTGGTTTCTCCCTGTGTTCGCATCCATCTGCAGCTTTCTCAGTCTGTGTATGATACGACTGATTAAAATGCTGCAGTGTCAGTTTTTATTTATTGCTGTTTTCCAAAGCTTTTGAAAAAGTATGAACTCTCTGTTTATATGAATTTATACGTTCAGAGATTTGAGGAGGCTACGTAAAAAGCAGACAGATAAGAACAGCAGCCAGTCCCTTTGTTGTGTGCACAGAGGGAGAAGCGATGCTCATAACTCTTGACTGCACAGGGAGGCAAAAGTTATTAAAGCTAATGTGCCAATAAAGGAAGGAGAAGAGGATGACTGTAAACAAGGCGATGTAGACGGTGCAGATTTCACAAACATAAAAAGAAGGGGTTGCTGATGTTTTACGAGGTAGGAAATAAATTAAACGTGTTTGTTAGACCTTAAGGATACAAAGTGTACTAAAAGTGTAACCGTGTAAACAAAGCCGTGTCTGTTTATAATGAAAGCTCCGCTGGGTACCTTTTAACAGAGGCAGCCTGTGCTGGGATGGTTCGCCTAACAGGCTTCTTTGCAAAAGGAAAAAAAAGAACACTGACCATCCCGTCTGTGGGAGGCACTACTCTCTGGAAACTGTAGTTATTAGCTGCAGACTTCATTTTGCATGCTGTCACTCAGGTTGCTGATTTGCTGATGTGGATGTTTCTGATGTGTGCTTTCATGTCATGTGATAAGTTCAGATGTCAGGATGAGGTCAGTGTCCAGGTTCTTCCTCCTTTTTGCCGTCCGTATCCACGCCGATGTAGCTTTGTCCAGCTGGCTCACAGGAAGAGGGGGATGTCAGTGTTGTGATATCATTGTTGTGAAAGCTGTGCTGGCTGATTCACATCCTCCTCCTCCTCCGCCTCTCCTGAGAAACCGATTGCTCTGGACCCATCCAGTGAATCCACTTTTCCAGCTGCTCTTGAACGTCCTGTCAGTCTCCACCCATGTGAACTTGGCAGATCATCACTGAAGTTACAAGTTTAGGCTACATCCCTCTGCTTCTCCTTTCAGCATCTCACAGATTTAAATCTCTTTTTTTTTAAAAGAGAGAATCAACCATGAAGGCTGCATAAAAGGGATTTTTCACTTCCCACGTCTAATGCATAAATTCATTAAGACAATAATTTCCAAACTTGCTTTTAGCTATTCATGTCCTGGGAGAGGATGCCCGATTATCCAATTACACTTATTACAATGCCGTGCCTTAAATTGAGTCCTAAATATTTACATGATGAAATATGTAGCAATTGTGCGCTAATGGCCAAATATTTGTTGTGGGTGAGAAATGGGGGCAGATGATGAATCTCCATTGTTTTAGCATTAAGCAGTGGGGGCAGTTTTCCAGCTGTGGGGGGGGGCTCTGCTGCTGAGGGAAACACTGGCTGTGCTGGATTCATTAGTCACTCAGGGGAACTCTATAATATTTCCGCTAAGCACCAACTAAATTGTTGGTCATCGCCACAGCAGTAATGCTTGATAAGAATCGAGGTGACATATTGAACAAGGAGACGAACTTTCAACAGGAGGGCTCGGGTTAATCCGCACTTAGTGGAGAAGTATTTATAACCTGCTGAGGGTCCTTTAATGAGACACTGAACCCGTACGAGACCGGTTTGCATGTTCAGGAACCAGAGAGGAAACATTTTCTGTAAAGAGATGTGGACTAAGTATGTATACAAATAATTGATGATGTATGTTTTTCAGGTGTTAAAGTAAACGAATAAATTATGTTTGTAGTTGTCACACCGGGAGGAAGACCTGCGGCAGTGTCAGAGGGAACGAGACGAGGCCGAGCTCAAGGAAAAGACTCTGGAGAAAAAGGTCCACGATCTGGAAGCGGAGGCTGAGACGAACGCCAACGCTAAAGAGGACAAATCCCGACACGTCAGGCTCATGGAGGTGCGTAATGATGCCAAGTAAAGCTCCGCTGATGAATGCTTTGTGCAGACTGTGTAATGTCAAAAGACACTTCTGAAAAGACCACACTAGTCAGGAAGTAAGCCAGATTTTTACAGAGAGCAGAGATGGCGCCACTGACTGCCTGTACGGCTTCATTTCACAGGACAGGATTGCTCAGCTGGAGTTGAACCTCGATGAGGAGCGTCAGAGCGGAGACCAGCTGATGGACAGGATAGACCGAGGACGAGAGCAGGTACAACACACACACACACACACACCCTCAACACATTCTCATTATCAGTGCTCACCTGTGTCAGTGACCTGCTGTCCATGTTCACACAGACGTGTCTGTTCCATCTCAGTCTGTAAATGATATCCAGATCTCCTGTTGCTTTGTCTTCCACCTCTAACATCACGACTGCAACCACTAATCTCTAAATTAAATGAACACGTGACCCCCATGTAACAGTTTTAGGTCTCAGATGTGCCCTGACAGGGTGAATGCATTTGGTTCTTGTGCAGGTTTTACCGGAGCACGTGTGCACTCTCAGCAGTCCGTCGCTTCGTCTTTGTGTGTAATATCCACACTCCCAAATTCTCGGTTTATTTGTGGTTTAAATGAAGTGGACAGGTTATTGCTTTGTAAGATGATCTTGCATAATCATTCAGGTTGGCGGCTTGCCAGCACGGTCCGAGAGCGTCGATCCAATTTTCATGCATCAGTCACAAAAGAGCCTTCTTAATGCACCGCCTGAGCCAAAATATGCAAGCTGCCAAATGTCTCAAGTTTTCAGGTTGCGGAGTTCACTTGGAAATTACACTCAGTAACTTCAGCGAGAGAACAAATCTAATTCTTGTGCTTCAGGTCAGTTTTTATATCCTCTAGCTAGGAAATGCTCCAGTTTTTCCTTCCTCCGTGATAAAGCTGCTGACGGAGGCACTGTGAAGTAAGATTTAGATAAAGTGCATGCGCTTTTAGAAGTGTTGTTTGTTCATGGGAGAGATCTCACTAATCAGAGGGAGGATGGTGGCTCTGGAGTTTTTGAAGTGCTTTCTTGTAACCCCGTATAGTTTTATGCTAATGTCTTGTGTAGCATATATAGCTCAGTGCTGGGAGTTTCTTGTGCAGCTCTTTAATCTCAGATGACTGTGAGATCCAAAGACGGGCTCGCAGAATTTGGCTTCGCTACAAACTCCTCTCGGTCTGAAACTGACACCGACTCAATAGTTGTGACCAAAATTTCAAATAAAGTGTGTAGCGACATCAAGAGAACCTTAGTGCGGTTGAGTCGAGTATTTAAATCGCCTTAAATGGTTTCCCTTTTAAAAAATTCCTGGCAGAGAGAAAAGAGTGGCATTGTGACAAAGTGGCATTGGTTCAGCATGAGGCTGAGGTCGGTTGTCAAGGCAACACCCGAGCTTTGTGCGGCAAGAGTGGAGTAGGTTGAGTGCAAGTGGTGTGTGTGTGTGTGTGTGTTTGTGAGTGTGCACACGCATGCATGCTGGTGTGTGTGTGTGTGTGGATGAAGGGGGATGTATGGCTATGGGGTGGAGGGTTGGTGGGGCTGCAGCAGAGGCAGCAGGAAGAACACCTGCGTCTCTCCTGGCACCAGGTGCTCCTCTCCTGTCTAAATGAGAGTAATCTCCCCTCTCCTCTCCTGCCGTCTCTCACAAAGCAGATTAGTTTCGCTGTATGTTCCAGTCTGCTGATTCAGCTCCCTCAAGCACTGTGCTGGGTGTACCAGTTATAGGGGCCATCGTTCATCAGAGCAGCCCACTGTCACCCACTAATTGGCATAAAATATCACCAATTCTAAGCTCCTCTCACTGAGAAAGAACCATCACCGCTGTATCGATTAGTTTTCATTCTCTCTTTCTTTTGAACCAGGCCATCACCCAACAGTCGGGCCGCTCGGTTGATCCGCTGTGCAGTGAGCTGATGTGTGATAGCGCCGGTATTAAAGGAATAGTTTGACATTTTGGGAAATAGAGTTGGCTTTGTTCCTGGGAGTTAGTTGAGATGATCTATACCACTCTCACAACTGCTATCTTCAAAGCTATCAGACAGTTATCTTATCTCAGCGTCGGGGCCTGACTGATGCATCAGCTGGACGGTTTTATCAGCTGGTCTCGGCCTGTCGCAGATAAACTGGTACCGTGTATCAGACAGTATATCACGCTGTATTTTTATAGAACGTAATGCAGAAAAAGAGGCTTTGGGTGATTTAGAAATGGTGTCATCACAACTTTACAATCTTCTCAGCACTGTCTGCTGCACATGGAGCTGCTGTAAAGTAAAGCTTCACGCTAAGTTAACTAGTTTGTTATATACATCACTGGAAAGTTAATATAACTCCAACATATGCATGCAAAATATTCACTGATATATCAATAACTTACTCCCTAAAATCAGTATCGGCCCCAAACATCTAGTATCAGTCAGACTCCACTCACCATAGAGACAGGATGCATCAAAAAACGTGCTTCCAGCATCTCTATGCCTCTAAATACATACAGCCACAACGAGTCATTATTACATTTTCAAAGCGGTATTACATCTTAGAGGTAGTTGGTTATTTATGCCTCTGGATGCAGCTGTTTCCACTTTTTGCTAAGCTAAGCTAACCGGCTGCTTGCGGTAGCTTTGTATTTATGTTTCACACACCTGCACCTGTGTTAAACACTAATCATTTGTATACTCGCTACAGCTACATATTCTTTATAGAAACTACTGTCATCGATTCTTTCTTCTTTTGTTTTTTTTTTGTGTGTCGCAACCTGCTGCTGCCGCCGAGAGCCGACATGACGATCATAACAAAAGTCTGAATGCAGTCAAGCAAGAAAATCCAGCTCACCAATTAACTCGGGCTCTTCCAGCATGAACCCTTCTATTGTTTAGCATTTTGACTCACAGAGCGCCGCCGCGGCGGTTTCTGTTGCGAGCGAGACTCGGGCGGCATCCGATTATAATTGTTGTCAGACTGTGTGGGACTGTAGCGGTGACAGTGTCTGGACTCGGCTTGACAGGTGGAGCAGATGAGGAATGAACTCCTGCAGGAGAGGGCTAGCAGACAGGACCTGGAGTGTGACAAGATGGCTCTGGAGAGACAGGTACACACTCTCCTGTCTGGAGGATACCAGCGACACACAGCGCTACGCCACACACTCCAAGCACACACACTCATTTCATTCATCTTTTCATCACTCTCATTTTTATGTATCCATTCTCAGTTCATTATTCTCCAGATGTGATTACAGCATAAACGTACATTTATGAAGCACCTCATCACTTCCCTCTCTCTCCCCTCCGCCCTCTCTAGAATAAAGATCTGAAGAACAGAGTGGGTCATCTAGAGGGTTCCCAGAAGTCCAGCAAAGAGGGGCTGGTATCCCAGCTGGAGGATCGCATACAGGAGCTGGAGGAGAGGCTGGAGGGGGAGGAAAGGTGAGACTAATGAGAAGAGGGTGCTGTGCTAAGGTGATGGAGGAGGGAGGCTGACTGAAAAGTAGAGAGTTTGATTGGGTTGGGGATGGCAGAGGGTTTCTACTTGGACACTGATGGATTTGGGATACAGAGTTGGAGCTTTTATAGCAGCAAGGGGACTCTTAAGTAATCAAACCGAGCAAAAAAATCTGAGCAGCTCCTAATTCTTTGAGGTATAACGTGTCAGAATTATTTGCTATATCTTACGTGTGATGATGAATTATGTTTCAGGGAGCGGGCCAACCTGCAGCTGGCGAACCGCAGGCTGGAGAGAAAGGTTAAAGAGATGATGATGCAAGTTGAAGAAGAACATCATTCAATGCAAGATCAAAAGGACCAAGTATGTAACACACACTCACATCCACACGTACAGTCGTTTGACTCAGACCGTTAATTGTATGAATAACGGACGTGTGCGTGTCGGCCCTCGTTGAACTCGTTTAACCCCGGCGCTGGTGTGTCTTCTCGCAGCTGAATCTGCGCCTCAAAGCCTTGAAGAGGCAGATGGATGAAGCTGAAGAGGAGATCGACCGACTGGAGCACGGCAAGAAGAAGCTGCAGAGAGACCTGGACGAGCAACAGGAGTCCAACGAGCAGCTCCAGAGTCAGCTCAAAGCTCTGCGCAGCGAGATCAGGTAAACACACGTAACAAGCAGGTGACTCTTTAAAACAGGTGTTCTCAACCTTTTTGACCCCGAGGCCCAAGTTTCCCAGAACAAAGTGGCTCAGGGCCCATTTAAATATGAACACGTTCATTTCAGTTGATCCGAGTCTTGGTTTGATTTGGATTCAATAACTAAATCAAGTCCACTTACAGTTTAACAAGCTAAAACCTTGTAAAATAAATGATATGAGAGTTGGAGACCATTTTCTTTTCTCCTGAAAAAATCCACCGGCTTCCCAACTAGTTTTGGATGTTTGGTTTCTAGATGCCGCCGTGGCTTTGAAGGCTTCGGTGCTTCGTTGGCTTGCGTTAACCCAAACACAACACACTTGGCTCTGCCTCGCTGCCTCCGTTCACAAAACCAAACTTCATAAAGTCGGGGTTGTACTTGCACACAGATTTCACCTATGAGGAGGAGGTGGCATCACTTCCATCTTCAGTTTTCCTTTTTAAAAACTTTGCCATAATTTCAATTAATTGCGGCTAGCTTCTTCTTCTGCTGCTTAGTGGAGCAACACCTGAATGACGCGGCCCACAGGTGGAGAATTGAATGTTTTTCGTGGCCCAGTGGGCAGTGCTCACGACCCAATGATGGGCCGCGAGCCCATGGTTGAGAATCACTGCTTCAAAAGAAGGAATCAAACACAGACATTCTCACAAACACCGGCACAGAGGACTTTACAATATTAAAAAAAAGTTAAATTAAAAAACAAATTCAACAAATAAATAGGATCAAGTCAAGACCAGGTTTTTATGAAGCACATCTAAGACCACAGCTGAAGTGAAGGATTATGAATGGCATCATAAAAGTAACCTAACAAGGCTGAACACTGCAGCTAAACCCTGTGGTGCTGTTTCAGGTGTGATCTCACATTAGTAACTCACCTCACTCATGTAAACACTGTGGCTGAACCCCTACAGGGTTGTTGTTTTCAGAGACAGACCCGACTGTTTCTTAAATATATAAAACACGGTTGTTCCTCATCCAGGCGTAAGAGCACTTCTGCTCCGCTGCTCAACAACCTGGACGACGACGACGACGACGACGACATCAGCACTGACGGGGAAACGTACTTCAGCTCGTCCTCGGGGTACAAGCGCTCCTCCAGTCAGGACAACATCTTGTCGACCTTCACTTTGTAAACAGACTCTGACGTGGGGAACAAAGCTGCTTTACACGCATCGCTGTCGGACCAAACGGCTGGAGATCCGTGCCACGTGCTTCTGTAGATATTACGCTGTGTGAATATGGAGAGACTTTGCGGCTACGTGAGATAAACTGAATTGTTTTTTTTTTTTGTGAAAATCCTCACCTCAGCAGAGTTCATTTAATTCTCGGTGCAGCCTCGACGTCTGTAAATTCACTCAGTATTATTTGAGCAGCTCTTTGATTAATGGGTGGGATCGTTTTTGTCTGTCCCGTAGAAATGACTTGTACATACTGTTTAATTTGAACACGTGGAGCCGTGCATTCCGACCTTGTTAGCGCTGTGTTGTTAACTAATGGATCACACATGCTTGTCAATGATTCTTCTAGCATTAGTGAACTTGAAGACTCTCTTTAATGCACTGTAAACCGACGCAACCAGTACTGCCTTCGTGAACCATATGAAGTTATGACCACTTACTTTTTTTTTTATGCCTATCACTTATGTTAAATTTACATACAGTATCTGAATAATAATTTTTGTATCATCCAATTAAATAAAATATATTTACCTTTTTTTTTTTTCAAAATGAATGAAAATCAAATGTATGAAGTGAGTTGGATGTTTTTTGTTTTATTTATTCATTGCTGAAGTTTTTTTTTTTTTTAGGGAACAATAAATAAGGGACTTTGTACATGTCTTTTTTTTTTTACAGTTTTATATCATTTGATGACCAATAATTTGAGATCAATACATCTGTAATCAGGATTGTTTTTGTCATTTATCACACATGTTGCTTCTAATATCGTCTTCTGGGAAAGGCTGTTTGTAACAGACAACAAAGCAGCAAATATTAAAACCATTTCCTCTCTGTTTTTATAAAGGAAGTGCTTTGATTTACCTTCTATCTGGGTTTATTTCTCTCCTGTCTGGGGGCAGTGTTAATGCTGAACGCGGTGTAAAGCCTTACTGTCTGACTTCCTGTGTGTGTGTGTGTTTGAATTGATCCCTCGCGGCGCCGGTATCGAACACGTGGCTCCTTCTCAGATTCTCCTTGAACTGAATGAGGGAATTTCTTGAGATAAACTGACAATCATTGTTTTGCGACACTGTGATGATTTGCACTGTGTGTTGGCTCTGTGCTCAGTCTGACGCCTGTCGGGGGGGGAGGGGGGAGTGGGTTGAGACAAATTCCTGCCACTACCTCTCTGTACACAACTGTATGTTTATAAATCCTGCTGAGACTAAAATAAAGGTTATTTCAGTTACGCTCACATCTCTTTTGCTTGGTGAATAATTACGCTGATATTTCAAATCCCCTGTAGATCCATCTGTCCATCATCTATACAACTTAATCCTCACTAGGGTCGTGGGGGGCTGGAGTCTATCCCAGCTGACTCAGGGTGAAGGCAGGTTCACCTGGACAGGTAACCAGTCTATCACGGGGCTACACTTAGAGACAGACAACTAAGCACACTCACATTCACACCTACGGACAATTTAGAATCACCAATTAACCTCAGCATGTTTCTGGACTGTGGGAGAACCTGGAGAGAACCCATGCTGTACAGGGAGAACATGGAGAAAGATCCTGGGTGTCCTCACCGGGATGCGAACCGGTGACCTTCTAGCAGCAAGGCGGAACAGTGGTTAGCACTGTTCCGCCTTGCTGCCCCCTCTAGACACATTTAAAAAACATTTGTGTTGAATTTGTGTCTTAAATGTAGATACCTGTAAACTACAGCCCTCTCTCTCCATCAGTCCTTCAGTGTTTGTGCACTGAAGGCTTCTGACTTAAACTTTCTACACTTGTTTAAATTGTATAAATCATGTTATGTGAATTATGTGTAATTAGTTCTTTTCTTTTTGTGACACCACTCAGAGGGAAATGTGGTTCTCTTTACTTCATTTATCTCAGAGGTTTTTTGACTTAGATCAAGATTTTTTGCACACAAATCACATGAAGAACTCATAAATTTTTATTATTTTTGTTTTGTATACTGTTATTTTTTTTTTACCATACACCGTTAGTTTTATACTGTTTATATTTAGCTCTTTTTTACCTTGCACTTCTTGTACTACTACTATAACTATATATATATATAGTTATAGTTTGCATTACTTATTAACAAGTACTGCCTCACAAGTTTCAGTTCTGTGTACTCTGGTAGCCAAGCAACGACATTTCGTTGCCAGATTCACGACTGTGTTTTTGTGCAATGAGAATAAAGAAAGTGGTTTAGATCACCTGTAACAACATTTCTCAATATTTTCGAACTTCTGCAAACCAAACAATTCAGCAATTGATGGAGAAATTAATCAGCAGATTAACCTGTTAGAAAATTATCAGTTGGATGAAAAAATATTTAAAGTGAGCTCCACCTCAAACAGCTGGAACAACAAATCCTCCTGTTGCACTACAACTGCATAAAAATCCTATTATTTAGTGGTTCAATCTTTTACAGGAGACACAGATTATTCTGCACAGTGAAGATAAAACATTCAAATAAAGTAAAAAAGAGGAACAGCACACTGTTCTAATAATCACATTTTAAGGAATAGGAAAGATTATTTATAGTTTTGACCAGCAGTTGAAGAAGATGTATTCAGTAATTACCTAAACTGAAGTATTAACATCAAAATGTAAAAAATAACAGACTTTTTATGACCTTACATGTTAAGAGCTTAATGTGAGTGAATGAAGTGAACTGTTTACACAATGATCATGTTTCTTCTTAAGAAGTGAAGAAATCTGTTCGTCTATTTAAATAGTTTAAATCTTTTTAGAAATGAGTGAAAGAAAACAGAATCATCTAAAATATTCCTAAAAATATCCCAAATATGTAATCCAGGCTGATGTTTGGTCGCTGAAATGGCAGTGAGTCAAATATTGTGTAAGACGTTTTGTGGTCATGTATAACGATGAGCGGTGACTCCACTTATCTTCAGGTAGAACCCGTGTGGAGGTCAAAGCAGCTGCATCAACAGCTGCTCGAGCTTCGATTTCGTGCTCGGCAGGTCGATGTTTTTCCTGCTGGAACCTATGAAGCGTGTGCATCCTGTGTTTGGGCTCCATCACCTTTCAGGGCTCAGCTTTGACCTCCTTCGGTTTCCTGGTGAGGAGCAGCAGCAGCAGCTCACCATTACAGCGTTGTGTATTCATTTTAGAAATAGTTTCAGTTTTTCTGTCAGTGTAAACAAAAAAAAAAAGACATTAAATCTGCGTTAACATGTTAAAGTAACAACCCAGTTTCAGATTTCGCTTCCTTTAGCTTCAGCAACAGTGAAAGGAGGAGAATAGATGCAGCTTTCTATTCCTCACTGGGCTGACTGGCCATTGTAGTCGGGGCATGACCTTCATTTGTTGCTATTCTACGTGGAACAAACAAATCGACCTTTCAAGTGCCACAGCATTATCTCTCTCCCTCCTGTGTCAAGCCAAGCAGTAAACTAATAGGGGCTGCGAGCTGCAGGGCTTAAGAGGGAAAACTTGTGTATGCTTAACAAGGTGATCATTCTTGAGATTCCTTCGTGTGCTTGAGCGACTTCAGCCGGAGTGACTGCTGGGAAATAAAAAGGGGCTGCACAGCTGAGAGAGAAAGTTGTCTCGGAGGTGAACGGCGGGTGTTTTGTTATGTGAAGATGTAGATTTGGGAGTTTAGAAGTGATAATTTTATTCTGCTCCGGATAGAAAACATTCGAGTTTTACGAGTCTTGCAGGGATCTGGCCTCGGCTCAGTGTCGCTCTGAGTGGGTGGAAGGAAAAAAAAAGAACTGCTTCTGATCATTGTGGTGAAAATAGCACAGTGGGCTGCTGCCCTCTAGCTGTGGTCAGGGTAAATAAAAAAGCACCAGCTGTCACAGTTGCTCTTCTCTAGGAAGTAGTTTACAATCAGAAGTGAATAAAAAGTAGATTAGATCTGTAGAGTCAAACAATAAATTAGAATTTTTGATGTAAAAGCAGCGACTGTCAGTGTCTCTGTGTTCCATCACTCTTCAGCAGGTCTGAGCGGTGATAATGGAGACGTAAACAGTTGGTTCGTGGGAGTCGTGGCTGGTTTTTATCAGCCAGTCGAGCTGTCAGACGTCTGCAGGCCCACCGGGACCTAAAGGGGGGAGTCTCCTGCTCAGAGTCCCCCTTTAACCCCCACATACCTCCATCCTGGTGATACATGGCTTCCTATAAGTTCCCTGCCTGAGACTATGATTTATTTCTAGTCCATTAGATGTAATGAAAAGCCGTGTGAGGTATTTGTAGTTTCAGTGACATCCGCTGACCTCAACCGTCACATTGTTCAGCTGATTTTAAAACCAACACCCACAATGTTTTTTTGTGTGTTTTTTGTTTCAAACATGACCAATAACATCATTACGGAGCCAAACAGGCACCAAAGTAAACATCCGGTGGACGCCTCGGGCTCCAAATGTTTCCATCCAGCAGGACAAACCTGCTCTGGAGGCGCTGCCACCAGTGGAGGAAGAAGTCTGAAGATTCTTTATGAAAGTAGAAATATTAGAATTAAAAAAACAGGCAGAGAACTGTGTTGTCAGCAAAGACTGTTGTGAATTCTAAATTATATGTTACTTAATATTTACTATTGTGCTTATATGTTGTTATTATATTTATATTATTGCTGATTATTGTGATTTGAGTTGATAGTAAAGACATTCATCAGTTTTTATCAGCTCATTTACATCTCTAAAAGCAACCACAGGGTTCACATTTGATTTAATTAATTAGCTGATTGATTGACTAGTTTATTTCTTCTTCTTCTTCTTCTTATTGTTATTATTATTGTATTGTTATTTATTTTATTGGTGTTATTATTTATTTTCATTACTTTATTTAAATTAAAAATTAAAAATAGAATTGGAATTTAAAAAAATATATATTTATAGTCTAGCACTCTACTTTCTTTTTTTCTATTTATTCCTTCTCTGTAATGTGAGATGAAATTTTTACTTCTTTTATTATTTTATTTGTAATAATTGATGTTTGTTGTATTTATTCATTTATTTATTTATACTGAGATCCATTGTCTTCCATTTCTTTTACAGTGTTTCACTCTTTTTTATTTTTATTTTTTTTTTTATTTTTGTCACCTACCTCAAACAGTACTCGATGGAATTTACTCCATTACTTTCCACCACAAAGGAAATATGCTTTTTTTTAGAAGTGAAATACACAAAAGACACGTTAAATCAAACTGCATTAAACAGCAGCACTGACACTAAATCCTAAACACACAAATCAAATAAGAGTTCAGCACGTTGCTGTTGGATTAGTTAATTGCTTTTGAGGTTTTTCTAATTACATCTTTACCGCCTCATAACAAAGCCGATCATAGCATCAATTATAACAGCCATGAAAGACACAACAGAGGCTGAATGAGGTGACTGATCCCTTCAGGCCAACGAGAACATCGGAGCTCAGAAGAACTTGTCTTCTGTTGTGTTACGGAGTTTTTGATTATACAGGTCACATGGCCGCCCCCCCTGGAACCACATCTGGCCTAAAATATGTCAGAATTAGTTGTCAGTGTTTATACAGATCGACCAGCAATTTACCTTCTGAGTGGATTTTTAGTTCTTAGGCCACTAGAAGTCGATCAAATATATAAATAACAGCACATAATTTTTCTAATAGTGATCAAAGCTGTCATGTAAAACAGTATTTTTTCTGTGAGGTGACATGAAATCCAAACACCTCATCAGTAGTGTGTCACATCTGTCTAACAAAGCGACCATTCTCTGGATTCCTTCATGTGTTTGACTGACTTCAGCCTGAGTGACTGCTGGGAGATAAAGTGGTGGACGTCTGAGAGAACAGAAGGTGGTGGACTGTGTGGTTTGTGGTGTGAAGGTGTAGATTTGGACACAAATGCCTCAGAGGTGATGTAAGGTTTTTTGGCCAGTGCTTGAACTCCAAAGTAATTCTTGTAAATTCCTGCTGAGAACAATAAACACTTCTGACAATCACTCGCTCGAAAGGAATGCAAAGGAAACTTTGGATTAGTTGGATTTCTCTGTATAGTTTTATAAGGTCTTTGGCTTACTGTGTGAAGTGTCTTAAGATGACATGTGTTGTGAACTGATGCTGAATAAATAAACTTGAATTGTGTTTAGGATCGTTTTTGAAGACAGTGCAGCTTTGTGACGCCGTGTCATTTCATCACCGACACCATATTTGTCTTTCAGCGGCTGCAGAGGTGCTTCTCTGAAGTAATTACAAAGACCTGAATTCCAAAGCTGCAGGGCGCTGAGAGGACGTCGACTGTTGTTGTTGTTGGTTTCAACAGCAAAATCCTCGACAAACAACTCGTTGCACACGGAAGACAAGATCAAACAGCTGCACTGCATGACCTGTATGCAGCACAAGCGATGCACTCACCTTATTACTGCTGGAGAAGGTTTTCTAATACTTCAGTCAAAGTAACAAAACCTCTCAGGAGAAATGCTCCATCGCATGTAAGATCTCTGAAAATAGCACATTATCCTGGTAGTACCCTAATGCAGAAAAACTGAGTGTAATAATATCACAGTATTATAATAATGACACTATAATATAAACATTGTAGTGTAATTACAACATTATTAGTCTGAATATGCTTATGCATAAGCAACATCCTGCTTTTGTAGTTTTTACTAATCAGTCTTACCTCCCTACAGCCTGCTGTTGGCATCAACGCCCTGCAACACTTGAACTTGTTCTATGGCTCTGGTCCAGATTGTTTTCTCCTGACTAGATCCTTGCTTGTGTTGTATCTGCTCTCAGATGTACGTCGCTTTGGATAAAAGTGTCTGCAAAATGAAACTGTAGAATTGTAGTCTGCTGATTACTGCCTGGGCTGCAAGGTGAACGGTGGTTAGCACCGTCACCTTACAGCTAGAAGGTCGCTGGTTCGTGTCCCAGTGAGGACACCCGGGATCTTTCTGCGTGGAGTGCGTGGAGCCACTGGGTTCTCTCCGGGTTCTCCGGCTTCCTCCCACAGTCCGAAACATGTTGAGGTTAATTGGTGATTCTAAATTGTCCGTAGGTGTGAATGTGAGTGTGCTTGGTTGTCTGTCTCTAAGTGTAGCCCTGTGATAGACTGGTTACCTGTCCAGGTGAACCTGCCTTCACCCTGAGTCAGCTGGGATAGACTCCAGCCCCCCATGACCCTAGTGAGGATTAAGCGGTGTATAGATAATGGATGTATGGATGATTACTGCCTTGATCAGATAATTAATTGTGAGCAGAAAAGGGGACACATGTACACAAAAAGCATTTCACCTTGTTTTTTTGAAGTAATACTCTTATTAACTTACTAAAAAAAAAAAAGAACACCTGTAAATCATATTATTTTAGAAGATGCAACCATGAAATGTGCACAAAAAGTGACTTTTGACTCAGTTATTAAAGTTGTTGATCAATTAATTGATTCAATCCGAGCCTGAAAAGTAACTCGTCAGCTGTTATAATTGAGTAAAAAGTAAAAGTTTTCCAAGTGAAACAGAGCAGAATGGATAAAGTGCCAAGAAATGACAGTTCTTAGATAAAGTAGACCTACTACCACCATGTACGTAAGTGCAGGATGAATATTATTCCTCAGCTGTGTGTGTGTGTGTGTGTGTGTGTTACATTCTACTTGTATGAAAGCACAATGAAGTCTGATTGATTTATTGATTGCTGTGTCCTTATCAGTGACACGCAGCAGCTCTGCTTGTTGGCAGGTGACACGAAGGTGAGATAAAGCAGCTTTGTTTTGCTCTTCTTCCGCCGCTGGATCTGGTTGTTCTTGTAGGACTGATACTGAGGAGCTAATCCACTGCTTAATCGCGATCTAATCACAAACGGCGACAATAAGAGGTCGTTGAGGAGGGAGGATTTCCACATGACGCTGGACCTGGACGGAGGCCCCGCAGAGTGATTTACTCACTGATTGCAGAGACGTCATTTGTTTGATGTGTGGTTACTGATTGACTGCTCACTGCTGTAGAAATACCTCTCATATTGTCCAGAGAATTTTCCTTTTCACATCTGCTGACACATTTTGACATCAACCAACAGTGGTGGTTTGTTTAGGAGCCACACTCGGCTCTTGCTCGAGACTGTTTTCTGTGTTCTTCAGCATCTGTGTCGCTAGTTTCTATCAAAAGGGAGTGACTGCAGGCCTTTCACACGAGGAATGCGATCTGTCTGTCGGGATGACGGACTGTGAGTTCCTCGAAGCTAATTGACAGGATGAGCGAGTGTAAACAGATGAACATAGATTCAAAGAGTCAAACCAGGCGAAATGTGTAGAAGTGAGGCGGCAGGTAAACATTAAAAAATCATGTCAGCCGTGCTTGTCTTCCTTTTCACCACTATCACCAGTATCAATAATTCACTGACTGCAGCCACGCCTGTATCACTAGACACCATATCTGTGTCTGTATCTGCAGCACAAACAAGTTTCTGACTTTTTGACCCAGAGAGAAAGTTCTCGTAGCAAATATTGAATTCAAATAATCAGATTTAGTGAAACCAGCAGCACAGTGTAGAAATACTACAGATCAAAGTTTTGAACTTGCACGTGAACTAGAGAACTCCTAACAACAAAATGCAATTAAAATATAAATAGTCCTCATTTAGAAGAACTGCGCTCACAGTATCAGTGTTTTTATGTAATCATGTATTGATGTGTGTGAAAAGAACTAAAGTGCTCATTTTAAATGCTTCACATGAGCCTGTATTATTTATACTTTGCACATTTTATACTCTAAATGTTAATTAAATCATCTGTGTGTTAAATCTGCAGACAAAAGTTGTAGAAACGAATCTGAAATTCAGTGCAGAGCAGCGTTAAAACATTCAATTTGTGTCATTTCAAACACAAAGGCAGCAGCGGGCTCCACCTCTCAGCCACTCCTGTCAATAAAAAGTGCTCCACCTGGTAGGAGGACCCGCCCTGTGAAAGTCCTGCTCTCAGGGCAGGAGCAGCAGAGCAGGAAAGCAGCTGAAATGTGGCCCGACTGGTCTGATGGGAACACAGAGAGACTCGGCAGAGAGGCAGAGAGGTTGCTGAGTGACTGACAAGCCCGTCAGTCAGGTGGATTTCGAAGCAGCCCGGCTGGAGTCAGGACAATGACATAGCTGTGTTTGTGTTGCTGAGTTTGTGGCTCATGAGCAGCACCTGGTTGTTTCACTGACAGAAGGGAAACCTCGGAGCCCCCCGTGGACTCCCACCAGCAGCAGGCTTGACAGAGTGGAATTTCCCTCCTCTTCCCAGGCTGCAGCCGGGGGCAGATGGTCGCTCTGAGAGTCTGAGCAGAAACTCAGGAAGGAGAGCGAGAGGAAGGGTGGAGGGAGGAGGGCCGGACAGGGAGAGGAAGAGAAGCGAGGAGTGGACAGAAGAGGAGACATGCTTCGCTACGGTTCAGGACGAACTGTTTCCACCACCACAACCACCACAACAGAGGACTCTCCAGAGTCTTCAAGTGAGGTAAGAAGTCCCACAGAAGTCAGGACTCCCAGACTCTCCCTCCGTCTCTCCCTCTTTCTCTGCCTTCTCCTCTGTGTTTTGCGAACAGTCCAGTGTTTTTTCCTCCCTCCTCTGTTTGTCCTGCTGCTTTGGACTCTGCAGCCACTTGTTTCTCGCCTCAGTGCAGTGAGACACCTTTTTTCTCACATTTTTCCCAGCAAAACATTTTCTGTTTCCTAAACTTGGACTTGGTGTTTATTATAGGATGTGTGAATGTGTTCACTTACACAAGCTTGTAACGGGAGCTGAGTGTGCAGGAGGCAGGACTGTCATGTTTATTTGAACAGCCCTCTGATAAAGCAGGCCTTTGTACCAAACCGGCCTTTTAATTTACCCTCAAGGTTGTTCAAAGCAGAAGGACAAAACATGTTCAGTGTTTTTCTGTAAACTGTATTGTTTTGAAATGAAATCCTCCAAAATATCTTATTGTGCACATTTATTTTTACGTGTGTCTGGTCCAGAATCAAACAGAGCAGCCGCTGTATTGTTAATATTATGACAGATGTGTCCGTTTCACAGTTTACCAGCATTTACATAAACTTTGTTTGCCGCTCCGTTGCCATTGTCTATAAATAAACCAACAGCGCTGGATGGTTGAGATGTTTCTGAGCTTTAGTCCCAGTGACGTTTTGATGTAAACTCTTTTCGTCAATATGCAAAATTAATATCTAATCTGTTTTCCTGTTTATTTTCCAGAGGGGCATCAGACGCCTGAGGTTGACTCTACATGCAGGAGATAATGGAAACAAGGAACCCAAAACTGCAAACTCAGCAACGGTAAGTTATTTTTCTCCCCCAGTGAAATCCCACAATTAGCTGCAGCCCGCCTATAAGTCTTACTTGACAGCCGTATGGAGATAAACACACTTCTCATATTTAACCCTATTTGATTCAGCTCACCAAATGAATTTGCTTTAACTGTGCAGGAACACAGATAATAATGTGGGAGAACTGATGAGCTCTGGAATCACAACTTTAATTCATCTTATCATACAAAAGCCTTTTACAAAACGACGGTGGAGCCACTGAGATTTATGTGTTTTTTATCATCTGGTCCGGTTACATAATGGTGACAGACGGGTGTGTGTGTGCATGTGATAACGCACACACATCTGTTTCACGTTTGCTTCAAAGCTCGGCTCCGACCGAACCGTAGATCTGTTTCATGGAACAGAAAATATTTTAAAGTACGACAGCTTAACTGAGACAGTATCAGCTCAAACACTGGTAACCAGAACAAACACAGCTCATGAAATTGGCATTTGCTCACTGAAGTGCAGAATTACACTTTCCATGTGTGCCGGTGCAACATGGTGAGCGTGTGAATTATGAGCGAGCGAACGCTGCAGGCTGTGTTGGTGTTTGCTGTAGGTGGCTCTGCCCCGGCCTTTGTTTGTGTTCAGGACTCGGTCCGGAGGCCGACGCCAGGCTTCCACAGCCAGCGTGTGAGAGCTGAGTTTGAAACTTAATGTTGGAGATTTTGAGGTTTTTAAACGGTGACGTGTTTTTGTCTGAACCTTGGCCACTCTGGGAGTATGCTGTCCGTCCCGTTACCACACCTCCACGCTCTGCACTGATAGCGCGCTGAAGTAATCTCTGATTGTGTTTCCCTCTGGGAGGGCGTGACCCTGAATATTGGAACTGATGACAGAGGACAGTCTGAACACAAAGTTGAAGGAAACACACATGCTCAGTAACGTGCACTTCACTGTGTGTGTTTGCTGAAAGAACTCCTGCAAGTCACAGAAACCAGCAGCTCCAACAGCAGAGCAGCAGCTTTTACACACAATCAACTTCCTGCCGTGGAAGGAAAACATAAAGAGTTCATAGAACGTTAGAATGAAAGCAGAACGGAAAGAGAAAACCTCAGAGGAACGATAACGTTATGGGACATTTGCTCGTTCACTTTCTTGTTGAGAGTGAAACGATAAGAGGAATATCAGTCTCTGTGTTTACAGTAAACACGATGCTACAGCCAGCAGCCTCGTCCTCACTCGCTGGTTAACATGACATTTCTTGTTTGGTTTCCCTGTAAAACGCTGCTTGTTTTCACTTATTACACAAAGCTGAGCGCAATTACTGCCCGCTTTACCTTCATGTTTGGATAAAAGAGAAGCCAATCCAGTCATCTAGCTCTTAGCAGAAAAAAGGGAATAAGTATATTTCCCAAAATGTTTCTGCTGCTATAAGATCAAAACATGACTGACTGAGCCTCACATCACAAAGTGCAGCGGATTCATTGAAGTGCTAAAACAATCTGGTGCATGAAACTGCAGCACAGTGTAGAAAAAAAAATAGCTCTGAGGCCCCTTCAGGAGAATCTGAAGGGAAATATTGGAATTCAGGAGGTTAAAACTCACATGCTCTCATCATCTGCTCATAACGTATTCACCGCTGGTCTCTGAGGACTCTGCTGTAATTGCTGTAACTCTGCTGTATAACCCTGCTCTGTTTTCAGATGTCACACAGGCTCAATCAAACGGTTCTTTCACAGACATATTCTCCCTTAAGTTGCTCAGACCTTAGATGTAATCTTTAGGGAAAGTCACTCAGCTCGTGATAAAGGAAAGACTTGATGGAATCAAGGAGGAAGGAAATGACTGAAATATCTTTGGTTGGTGATTTCCAGAGATAGTATGTTTCTGTAGTTCTTGACCATAAAACTAGAAAGGGTGTGTCCTGCAACCTGACACATGGTGGACACAATCCAACCAGTCACTATGGCCTAGATGAGATGTAATACATCTGCACCATGATGCCGACACAGAGCTTCTACATAAAGATGTCTGTACACCTGCAGCGTTGGATTTCAGCCCCATAATGGCTCAAAGTGGCCTCAAAGTGAACATGATTCAACCCAATGAGCTACATACGAGGGCCTTTGTGTGACGACTTTAAATGAAGCGTTCCGGTTTGTCTTGGAAATAAGCAGCTAATCCAATCAGTCGAGCTTCTCGCAATGCAGTCATATGACAGAACAGACAGTTCACGTGCTGCAAAATAAACGGCAAGATGCTGTTGTACCGGCGTACGGTTATTTCAAAGAGCTGAGCAGTTTTACTTGCTTACATAATCCAGGTAGAGTGAGCACCTCAAGCTCCTCGAGGCAGCTAAACAAAAGACACCCTGCATGCTTCTTCCACAATAATTACACGGCTGCGTGTTTGAGCTGCAAAAGTCAGGTAAATATTGTCCATCACTGTGGTCAAACAGGGGCATTGTAAAATTCAAAGCTGGATGAGGCGAGCTGCACTTGTGCTAAAACATAATGATGGCTCTTCTTCTTCTTCCCTCCCATCTGCTGGAATTCACGTCCGCCTATTAGTGGGCCTTCACCATTTCTCAACAGCATGTCCACTGTAGATTAAGTGGTGCAGAAATGTGAGGCTCGGCTCCGTCCACGAGACTACAGTGGCGTCTTTGTTCCAGCTCCTCCTCGCTCTTATCTCTGGGAGATGTGGAGACTGACGCCTGTTTCTCGGGTAGTAGGTCCCAACTAGTCTGAGCAGAGGCTTCCAAAAGATGTCAGATATCTATCTATCTATCTATCTATCTATCTATCTATCTATCTATCTATCTATCTATCTATCTATCTATCTATCTATCTATCTATCTATCATGCAGCCTGGTGCTTCTTTGGTTCTCACATAAGTACAATTTGAAGAGTTTGTTTGCTTGCATTCTTGTTGAAAGAGCACCTTTTCTGCAAGTTACCACACAATGACAGTCCAGAGTGCATTATTGCAACAGAAAATCTGCAATTAGAAGCTGCTGTGGAATGTTTGCACAAAATAATGACCCTTATTCTGAGCATTTTTCAACTCTGAAGTGTTCACACCTGCAAGTAAATCATCTACAACCTTGAATATTGTTTGTTTTGTTTTTCATTATCTGCAGGCTGAGAAAGAGAAAGACGTCAATGGAGCCTGGAAGAAGAAGAACGGGCTGATCCAAAGAGAGAGGCCAGCTGGCAGGGAGTCGCCTCAGCAGGTAGACAGCCGCATCCGCCGCATGAATAATAGGCCCGACGCTGCCATACACACACAATGCCACCGCTTCGGCATGTGTGTGTCGCTGACGTCCCACTGTAAAACCCGTTTGTGTGCACACACTCTGAGGCCGTCATCAATAATGCATCCTCAGACATTCTGCATGAACAAACGCTCGCAGGTGACTGTAACTGAGTCCATGTCTCGAGTGTGTCTGTTTAAGTTTCAAGTTCAGAAACTGTTTTTTATTTGTGTCGTGTGACAACAAAGGCAATAAGATGTCTTGGATCAGAGAAGATCATAACCAGATTTTTGGATTTTTTAAATCGATCAGTAGATTATTTTTAAAAATCTTGTCTAATTTCTGCTTTGCACACGTGAACATTTATTGTTTTTGTGGGTCTTTTCTGACAAACAACTTTCTGAATAAGTGTGTGCTTATGAGGAGTATTTTTATTATTTCATATTTTATAGCCCACAAGATTTATCGATTAACCCTATTCAGGACTTTTGGGGTTTTTTGGAGCCCAGGCTATTTGGTTTAGGTGATAGCTATTTTTTTTTTGTTTTTGAAGACTTTTTTTTTTTAAATACAAAAAGAGAGACAGTCATGCATTTGGAACCAACAATACGTCAACGCATCAGAAAGTGTATTTAAAATAGTATAAAAGTCTACAATGAATACCAACAAATATTTTGCACATATTCCTTCTTGGACCCTGAAACACCTTCTACGTATGGCAACATGAAAGTCCTGAACAGGGTTAATCAAGATTATAATATGCTGAATAATTGATGGTGGCAACAAGCATCACCTGCAACGCTAGAATAAACTCACTCTTCCTTATTTCCACACAAAACACCTGAAACATTTATAGAAATGTAATCTGTGAGCCATAATCTATCTGTGTCCATGACTATAATTTGTTGTTTAGTTATTGCCACACTGCTCCTGTGCCGGTGTGCGTCTGTTTTCATCAGCCGTTAGAAAAACAATGGGCAGAAATGGCAGCAGCTCGTGTACTGGGTTGCAGAAACTCGACACCTTCAATGCACTCTGCACCTTTCTCAGCCGTCCGTTCTGCTTCGACCTCCTGTTTCCAGTGCTCAGCAGCAGCGGTGCTGGAAATACCTGATCAAGAGTACATATGTAGGCATATGCGTCCATACACAAACACGTGTGACGCACCTGCGAGTGTGCATGTGTGCAGGCAAATACACAAACAGAACGGCGGTATAAGTCAGCCTCAGCAGTGGGTGGCTACAGAAACCTGACCGGCGCGATCCTGTCTCCCTCAGCACCTCGGAGACATGACCAATGGGGCGCCAGAGACCTCGCTGCAGCATCATGGGCCCAAAGTGTTCGGTGTGGTGCAGAGGACGGGCTCGGACAGACAGCAGGAAGTGATGGCGCGCGAGTGGACAGTCAGTCACCTTCACGATGAGATGAGGTACATCAGGGAGGTGAGTGGAGGATAACGCAACGAGCAGCCAAGTCTTTAGGTTGATCTCTGTTTTAACATCATCTTCGAGGCTGCCTGGGTTCCTGTGTTGATCACATCCCTGTGTTCTGTGCACAGGTGAGAGACTCTCTGGAGAAGGTGAGGGAGCGAATGTACGGCCAGTTTGGAGGAATGCAGAAATCAATGGAGAAGCTTTCACTGGAAATCAGGGTAATTAATTATGTAGCACCATATGAGAGGATGCTCAGAAACCCCTCATCAAACTCCAGGCTGTGAAGCAGTGAATAAATCTGAAAACCAGTGCACCATGTGTTCCTGCAGACTGCCAACTCACACCGGAGGAGTCTGGAGTCAGAGGTGAGGATCCGGACGTCAGCCATGGAGAGCTTTGATCAGATGAACAGCTCCCTTATATCTGCTAACATCGGTCTGCAGGTAACAAATCAACGCTCCTGAACGTGTGAAGACTGTTTATGTGACAGCTGCTCACTGTTACACAAAAAAACGGTTCGCTTGATAACTAAAAAAAAAGTTTCCTTTGCAGAAATCCCTTCTGGAGAACTGTCAGAACAGAGTGGGCATGAGAGACGAGGTGAAGAGTTTGCGAAGTACCTGCGAGCAAACAAAAGAAAAACTCAGAGAAAAAGAACAGGAGCTGGCTGCAGCGCAGGCTGAAAACCAAACTTTGAGACATCAGGTAACCTTGCAAACACTTAAAAGCTCTTTCTGTGTGACTGCACATTTACACAAACCCACATGCATCACAGATTACAGAACAGTACAGTGGAAGTGCCTGTTTGGATTCAAAGAGACGGTGTTCACCCAAGATGCATGACAGCTACTGAACAAATGGAAATATGGGAATGCTTCAAATGTAGAATCTGTTCTTCTCTACCATCTCTGTAGCAGATCACAAGAAAAACTCTGATGATCATCAAAATAGTCCAAAACGTTTGGAGAAGTCGTCACCTGTCCTAGTTTGTGTGATGATAAATGATTGTTTTCCTTTAGAGCAGAAGTAGCCCCTCTTTGAACTGTGGCATCTGAGAAACAGGAAATTAAGCTTTGATCCGGCAAGTTTGCTCACATATCGTCTCACTGCAGCTCAAAAACACATCAGCTGCATCTTCTGCCCTGGAGTCAATATGGCATAATCAGCTGAGCACAGTGGTAATTTTTGCTGTGCTGTGTGTTGTCCAGGTTGAGTCTTCGCGGGAGGCCAACAACCAGGCGCTGCAGGAGCTCTCAGCAAAGCTACAGAGGGAGTACGAGGAAAAGCTGCACGAGGAACAAAGGAAACACAGGGAGGAGATCGAAAACCTACAGGTCTGCATTCTTTACTCCTTATTCATATATTACATCACATGTTGTTTCCATTGACAATAGAAACTTAAGCTTATGTGTCAGAACTGGACAGACGTATAATGACTACGTGAATCTCTTCACATGATGAGTTTGACCCATTTCTTTACAAAGTTTGCAAATTTTACTTCCAATGATAATTTCTTGACATCACAACAAGGTGCCTTGAGAGAGATTTAATTCTGTTCACACAGGCCCAACTCGATGAGTACATCAGGCGACTGGAGGAAGCCGAGAGAAACATCAGGATCGCAGAAGCCAAGATCGCTGAGCGGGACCAGAGGATCATCGAAGTGGAGCGTCTTCTCGACTGTATGGGAAAGGTAGAGTTCAGGCATTTTCACCCCAACTTGACAGAACTGGTGCAATTCAACTAAAAAACTGATACAGACTTGTTTCCTCAGCACAGTCCACAGTTTCTTGATGGGGTGTAAATCAGGAGGCCAGTCTGAAACCTTAATTCTACTGTGATTGAGCTCATACTTCATCACTTTTGATGTGTGTTTTGGGTCATTGTCTTGTTGGAAACCCAACTGCATCCAAGACCAACCTTCTGGCTGATGATTTTAAGTTTAATGAAATCCTCCTTCTGCATTATTCCATTTACTTTGTGTAAATCACCAGTTCCTCTGGCAACACAACAGTCCCAGAACATGATACTGCCACCACCATGCCTGATGGTAGGTTTGGTGTTCTTCGGGGCAAAGGCCTCACCTTCTCTTTTCCAAACATATTTCTGGTCAGTGTGGTCAAATAGCTCAATTTCAGTACTTTATGACCACAGAACTTTCCTCCACAAGACCTTTTCTTTGTGTTTATGAAGATTCTCAGTTATCCAGGTCGTGGTTATTCTCGTAGTTTAATTGTAGCAACTGGACTTGCTTGAGTTTCTTGAACACATTTCACCTCTCATCTAAGAGGCTTCATCAGTTCTGGCTGACTAGTTGGGAGTTCCTGATACTTATATCCTTGAGTTTCTGTTTCAATTGGGGGTCTGTTGCTCCTCCCGCGTTATGCGAGTCGTTAGTACTCCCCCTGACACAATGGGGTTCGTTTGGGTCTTTTGTGACTAGGTGTTCATGAGGTTTCATCTTCCTGGGGAGAGATCTTAAGACTGAACTGTAAACAGGTGAGAGGTGACGCCTCAGACCTCCACCTCTGTTAAGTGATGGTTGTTCCAGTTTGACATAGATGGTTTCTTTCACTCCTCTCTCAAAATATCTGTCCTCCCTGGCCAAAATCTGAGTGTCCTTTGTCCTTAAGATGCCTTTTCTTTGTCCATGTGATCAGCAGCAGCTTCAGTGAAGCCTTAAGGTGCTTCTACAGGAAGAGCTTCCTTCTTGCAGCCTCTCAGCTCACGTTGATGTAAAACACATTGACTTTGGACACTGACATCTGTGTTCCAGCAGCTTCTAATTCATTGCAGACCTGCTTTTTGGTGATTCTTGGTTGACTCGTGACCATTCTGACCGATTGTCTCTTAGCAGCAGGTGATAGTTTGTGTTTTCTTCCTGATCATGTCGGTGACTGTACCATGCAGCAGTTTATACTTACAATTGTTTTCACAGATGATTTCGGGGTCTGTAGCTGCTTTGAAGTGGCTCCAAGTGACTTTCCTGACTTGCTCAAAGTGCTTCTTCTTCTTATTTATTTATTTATTTTTAGATTTGTGCTTAGCTCCATTGTAGTGTTTGGGGCTGAGTCTGAAGAGTGTATCAAACGGGACTTAATTAAATTGGCTCAGAAAAGTCAGCAGCTGTAGTCAATCGTAATCACTCACAAGAAGTTTGGATGTCTCGCCACTAAGAAATTTAATTAACACAGCTTTCAACATAACTACACCTAATAATTTACGTTTCTATATGTATATTTATGACTCAGCAGACTTTGTCACCTTGAGATAAAGACATGTGTTTAATTTTTGCATCACAGAAAATGTTATGGGAGTCACTGGAAGACTGCCATGATATACATGGTTTTATAGGTGTATGTAAACTTTTATTCACAACTGTATACGCCTGGTAAATGTGTGGGAAATGATAGTTTAAGCTTTATGTTTAAAGGGTTATGACAGGGTTGTATTTAACATTTTGCAAGTGAGGATTTATACTTAGGGGCTGCAAGGTGGCTTTGTGGTTAGCACCGTTGCCTCTCAGCAAGAAGGTTCGTGTCCCGGTTAGGACGCCTGGGATCTTTCTGCGTGGAGTCTCCATGTTCTCCCCGTGCAGCGTGGGTTCTCTCCGGGTTCTCCGGCTTCCTCCCACAGTCCAAAAACATGTTGAGGTTAATTGGTGATTCTAAATTGTCTGTAGGTGTGAATGTGAGTGTGCTTGGTTGTCTGTCTCTAAGTGTAGCCCTGTGATAGACTGGTGACCTGTCCAGGTGAACCTGCCTTCACCCTGAGTCAGCTGGGATAGACTCCAGCCCCCCATGACCCTAGTGAGGATGAAGTGGTGTATAGATAATGGATGGATGGATGTTTGCAGTTGAAAAGAAAATTAGTTCAAATCACGTTGATCCTTAAAGACTAACTCTTTGTGCCAGATGAGTTTGTATATTTGACTGCCGCCTGAAAGTACCAAGAATGAAATAAACTTCTCTGAGAAAGTAAACTGTGGATCAGAGAATTTCACACTAATTAGAAAATCATGACATTTATTGAACTGTTGTGTCAGAGCAAAACAGAAACGGTGTGATCTAACCTCTACAGGAGAAAGGTCAACTCCAGAAGAAGCTGCAGGAATGTGAACAGCGTCTCCGGCTGATGGAGCTGCAAGACAGAACCGATGGAACCGTCGCAAAAAGGTACAAATTCAGGACCAGAAACAATCCATTTACTCTTTTTTTTTTTCATGTGTTTACAACCACAGCATCCTGTCTTCACCAGCCGATGGAGTTTGGTTGTTGTGGGGTTTGATTTGATCGAAGGTCTTTGTGTTGCAACTGTTTTGACAAACTGCTATTGCATCAACATCAAACATAAACTTTCTTTCCTAGAAAACATTTTGAGCAACCGCTCAGATTGTGCTGCAGGATTTTCACTTTCGTATTCAGAGTTTATATGTCGGACTAAATGCCATTTTATTTTATTTTTTTAAGATCCAAAGAGTTGCAGAGTGAAACCGTGGATCTCCGTGAGAGAATCAAACACTTGAACGACATGGTGTTCTGCCAGCAGAGGAAAGTCAAAGGAATGATCGAGGAGGTGAGGAGGGTTTATTTATGTGTGCGCAGGGATTCGGCTCTTTCTGTTCAACCTGTGTTTTATTAAAGGGAGTGCCTCGCATGTATACATCAGCTGACGTAGGAGATGTTTGTTTGCCATCCAGAGTATGGAAGAATCCAGCGCACGCAAGGAGTGTAAAAGTTCATCCAACCCAGAGTCAATAAAGGGTGGGGTGTCACGCTGGCCCAAGGGTTCTGGTGGATGTTCATAGCTTGAATGGTTAATGATTAAATTATATTATTAGCTTTAACTGAATTCTTTTTCTGATCTTGCATCTAGAAAAATATGTTTTTTCGCTTAATTATATGTAGGGAAAATATACACAGAGTTCGGTTAGTGCACTTCTAAGCAATTCATTGTAAAGGATTAAAGGTCTTCCAGGATATTACAATAAAGCATATCAGTATGTATACAGTAATGGACAAAAACTCACAATAAATGCTGTGAATCAAATGTTTTTTTCCCGTCAATGTGTGAAGGTGGAAACACTACGAGGTCAAGTCGCTCAGAAGGACATGTTCATCTCAGAGCTCCTGGACAGAATCGCCATCGTGGAGTGTGAGGTAAGACAAGACCGTGTGTTTACTTTGCATCCTAAATACGGTGTGGTGTGGCAATCTACTGCATGACTATAAATGATTCGCTGGGCTAATCAGCGCAGGATATCCTGAACTCTCACCAGCGTCTGTGTGGTTTCCTGATGCACCTATTGAGTCACTTTCTCGTGTAAAGTGACAGCAGTTCTTTGCTTTGCATGAATCTGACCTGACACTGTTGTTTCCTCTTTTCCTTTTCCTAGAATAATGAATTAGAAGACAAGCTGAAGTATTTTATGTCCACACAGAATAACTCGCGAGAGGTTTTGGAAACCAGAGAGATAGGAGTAGGCTGTGATCTGCTCCCCAGGTAGGAAGCGAGCTCTTTCAGCAGCATCGGGTTTTAGTTGGTGCTTCATTTTTTTGAGATGGTTTCTCACTCTGATGTCTGACTGTGCTTCTGCAGACGTGAAGTACAGAGGCATGATGTTGAACCTGTTCACTCTCAACCAACTCATCTCCATTCAATGCAACTTCCTCCACATGTTCAACCTCCAATGAGAGCTCCATCATCCATCCAACCTCTATCACCCACTCAACCATCATCTCCCACTCAGCCTCTGTCTCCTACCCAACCTCTGTCTCCTACCCAACCTCTATCTCCTGCTCAACTTCTATCTCCTGCTCAACCTCTATCTCCTGCTCAACTTCAACCTCCTACTCAACCTCTATCCCCCACACAATGGCCGTCCCCCATCCAGCCATCATCTCCACCTTCACCTTCCTATTCTGCCTTTAAACATCCATCGCACTACCTAACAACGCCCACCCAGCCAAGGACGTTTAAATCTAACAACCCTCCACCCAGCAGGCTGGAGTCCAGTTTATTGAGGTACACTCCTGTCGAATACAGTCGCTTCCTGCAGTCCCACCCCACGGTGCCGCCTGATGCGTTCTCCTACAACCGCCACTCTGAGTCCGACCCTCCGGCTGCGAGTCCGGTTCAGTCCGGGAGAGACGAGGTGGACGCGGGAACGAACTCAGAAACACGATCAAGTTCAGAGGAGTCCACCTCATCCCTGTCCTCTTCCCAACCGAGATCAAGAACGCCTGGAGTTTATACGCCGTTCATGAAACTTATGGAAATTACAGCTAAGATAAATATAGAGTAAACTTAGAGCAATAGTTTGACATTTTGGGAAGTTTATGAGCCAAGACTTAAATAAGGAGATTGATGGCACTCTCACTTTTGAAACCACAACTAGCAGCTGGTTAGCTTAGCTTAGCACAAAGATAGAAAACAAGGTGAAACAGCCAACCTGCGGGGTTTGTCCAGAAGACGTCTGACTCACTGGATGTAGATTGTGAGCATAAGCTTGACATCAGCCGCACATATTATGGGAATTTCTTCCTTAATCTGCACGCTACCATTTTCAAATTTTTCGTCACTCCAGGAAACAACAACAACCTCCAAGCAGCAACTGAAAATTTCAAGTTTTCCATGGACTTAGATCATGCAGTAAAGCAGAACTGCTAAATTGTTTTGATTGGTTTAAAGAAATACAAACAAGCAAGACAGTTTTCCCCCTACAGTAGAATGAAGTGTAGTCGACCGTTCAGTGATGAAGAACGATCCGACTATGTGAGAAAAGCAACAAAATGGGCCGAGTTTTACCTTCAGACCTTGGGTTGATGTTTACAAGCAACAATTTGTCACACAATCGGGGTTATGAGAGCAAAAATCAGCAAAACCCAGAAGAAACTTAAAGCTCAAAGTCAAAAAAATAGTACATTCACAGAATCTTAAGAAAATAAAATGAGTTGAAAAGTTAATTAGAGGGCTTTAAGACTGCTGGTAGGCAGATATTGTTATATTTGGAAAAAACAAACTAATTATTTCCCTTAGTTTTTTTCAGTCATTATGCTAAGCTAATCTATATGCAACTACATTTAGCTTAGCATAGTGCTAATATGCACTCTTTACAAAACTTGAGAATGGCATCAATCTTCTCTTGTAACTCTTGGCAAGAAGGCAAATTACTGTAATTCCCCCAAAAAGTTGAAGTATTCCTTTAAACTTAGTTGGCTTTGGTCTAATTTTCACTCCTGATTATCTTTTTTTAACTCACCACACGTATGGTGAAGAAGATAATTGTGATCGATGATGTAAAAAGTCAGCCTATGTTTGCACATAGCTCTAGTAATATTAATAATACAAAAATGTTGCTTCGTGCAAGGTGTAAATAATCTGATTTTTTAAGATACTGTACTGAAGAACTATATTTTGTTTGTTTACAGTGAATGTAGCCTCGTTAAGCTTTAAGCATTTAGTCCTATATGAAGATTGATACGGTTATCGTGTGTATTTTCCCGTCATTTTATATTTGCTCTGTACAAATTAAATGAATAGTATTTTGCTATTGTCACATTATGTACATAATATTTATTAACATGCTTTGTGCCTTCGTGAACAGCCTACTATCTGACACCGGTGGTGGGAGTGAATCTCTTTTAACTGGCAACAGGGTTTATGTGATAATATGGTTCTGTACTGACGATGAAACTGTTCAATCACTTTAAGGATATTGACTTTAATGAGGTGACTGCCATTCCTGAGCCACAGGCGCAAGTATTATCCAGCTGTTGTCTGTACTGCCACAACTGTGTTTGAAAAAAAACAACAACAAAAGCTTTATGATGTGCCTTTTCTGTAATGATACATATCAGACTGCAATTAACGAAAAGAGGCCAGCATACGTTTGGATAATAAAGACTATACTGTTCAAGTATCCTGATTGTGTCAATAATGCTCACACTTAAAAAATTTTAAATGTTATGTATTCTTTGTTTTCTTTACAAGTCACTCACACACGTTTACCTCAAGCATAAACACTAAACTCCAGACAAACTTTATGTTAATAG